GGATGTGACTTGAAAAATTCCCCAGCAACTCGAGCAAAGTGGCTCTTTGAAGGAGGGCTCCTGTCTGGTTTCAGGTAACTGAGAAACCCTTATTCAGCAAATACCTTTGTAGGCACCTTCCCTGCACATATCCATGCAGAGCCTCTACCTCCAAGCCACCTCTCCCAGTCCTCCTCTCACTCCAAGGGAAGGGTGGGAAGGATGCACTGTGATTTTCCAGGCAGTGGCAGGGATGCATTCCCAAGGAAGATGAGAGGGGTGGAGTGGAAGCTTCTCAGCACAAAGCAGGTTTGCCATCTCCAGTCACTTTGTAAATTTAGATCCTGCTGTTACTCACAGTGTTTTGGCTCACAACCAGTCAGCTGGGAAGGACTTGGTGACCCAGAGCTTCCTCTTGCCATGGCAAGGCATTGAGAGAGAAGGGGATTCTGGAGGTTTGTGCTTCCTGCTCTTTCCAAGGGGCATATTGGAAGAAAGCCAGGGAAGCAGCTTTGCTTTTTGTGTTTGGGTTTCCAAAACTTTTAGTGGAAGCATTTAATTCTGGGAAGAACAGCGTTGTCACTCAAAACCCCACAGCTGTGCCAAAAAAAGGTGGTTTGGGAAGGAAATGAGACTCTTCTGCTTGAGAAAACAAAGAAAAGCAGCCCAGCTCAAGCTGGCAGCCCACTCCTAAGCCAGGGAGCAGTGGTGCAGGAGGATGGATGGTTGCTCATCATCCCAGTCCATCATGGGACAGTAACTCAGCATCCCAACCAGTCCATCAACAGGGGTGGACCTGCACTCACTGTACCCCTGTCCCTGCATCCCTTCTCTGGCCAGGCCCTCCAAAATGCCCCAAAATCTTTTGGGCTCTGTGCAAGGGAAGGGTCGTTGGTGCCTGCTGGGATGGGCATCACAGTAGAGGAACCTACTGCATTTTGGCATTTTCCTGGGAACTCAATGACTATTTCAGACAAAAAGCAGAGTCTCTGTCATGGAACACCCCCAGAGTGAGTCATGAGCCCTGGGTGGAGAGGAGGAAGCGACTGTCCTAAAAAGAAGACATCCAGGGTCTGTGGGTAAGTGCTGCCCAAAGAGAAGTTGCAGGAGAAGACAGCTTGGAAAACTCTCAGGACATCCATGTGCATATGGGCCTGGCTTCATCCTGAAGGACTTTTTGTGAAAAATCACGGGGAAAATTCCACCTTGGGAGCAAGAAGCTGGAAAATGAAGATTTTCTTGATTTGGACCCTTTTCCTCATGAGAGCCACGAGCACAGGTCAGGCAAATCTGTATCAGGGGTTCTGGCAGAGATGTGGAGAGGCTGGGGCTGAGGCAGACCAGGAAGCTCACTGTGGTCATGGCTAAAGACCAGCTGATCCCAAACTCTTCCTCGGGCAGTTACAGGGCATGATCTCTGAGATTCACTTGTTCCCTGTCCTTCCTGGGAATAAGGCTTTTCACTCTCTTACTAACATACACCCTTGATGGGGGACTCTTTATTTTAATGATGGGGACCTCTCACCTCAGCACTGTAGAGTGGGTGCACAGGCACAGCTTACCTCAGACTGTACCCCCAAGGATAGGTTTACAGCACCTCTCTCTGTGGGAATATATGTTGAAAGGATAGTGCAGGAGGCAATCTCTCCCAATGAATTACAGCTGTACTCATTACTAAGGAGTGGAAACAGCCTCGCCTGCCCAATGACTTTGGATTTTATAAAAGAGTGGGCTAGGTGGCTCCTAGCTGTAGTTTGAGTGTCTGCTGTAGTTTGGGATGGAGTGGGCTGGCTGTGAGGAGGATGGGATATGTGGTCGTGCAAGGGACAGATAAGGTAAGAAGATGTTATGTGAGGGATAGTAAGGTAAGGTGGCTGGGAAAGGGACAGGTTGGGGTTGAGCCAGATATGCAGAGAGGAGAGAAGTCAGAGCTGTGTGGAGCTGCTTAAGAGGAAAGGAGTCAGAGTTGTCAGAAAGAAGTATACACTCTGGAAGAAGGTATGAAAAGTTTTCTAATAGAGGATTAGTGGTGATGCCAGTCCGTCTCAACATAATTGCAACATCTCTCTGTCCCCTGCAGGTGGCCAGGCAGTGACAGGCCCCAAGCAGGTGACAGTGGAGCAGGGCAGCTCACTGACAGTGTCCTGCAGCTACAAGCCACGCTACATGCTCAACTCCAAGTACTGGTGCCGCAAAAACTCCCGCTGGCCTTGCTTGACCTACATCATCCAAACCAATGGCTCAGAGGTGACAGTGACCCAGGACAGGGTGTCCATCAGGGATAACCACGCAGAACACTTGTTCACAGTGACACTGAGCAGTGTCACACTGGGAGATGCAGGCCGGTATTCCTGTGGAGTGAGGAGGAAACTGGGGATCAACATGTGGCACAGCACCAAGGTGATGGTCTCTGCAGGTAAAACAGGGCTGGAAGCAAAGCTGACATTGAACTTCCCCCTTTTTCCTCCTCCTCAGCAGTGCTGAGGACGTTGCCCAGACACCTCCATACCCACCTCCTGCACCTTCATTGCTGAAGACACTCCTGTGCAGGACAGGGGCTGTGGGAGTCTTTACTTTGCTCTGACTCTGTCTTCTCCGCCAGCTGTTTCAAACACAACTGAGGACCACAACATGAGCCCGTTGACCACCAATCCTCTGTGTCCCAGGGGCTGTGGGAAGCCTCCAGAGCTGTGAGTCAGGCCTTGGATCTGGCCAAGCCCCCAACAACATCCTCTGGCTAAAATATTCTTTTCCCATGCATTTATCTCCCAGCTTTGAGTCCCCAAGGAGCATTCTGGGGGCAAGAAGGGCAGCTATGCAAGTGCCCCAGTCCCCATCCTCATTCCCCAGACCCTACTAAAGCTCTGGCATAAACTCCTTTCTCCTACACAGGTCCCAGTTCAGTGTCGTCTTGCTGTTCCTGCTCAGCATCAAGGTACTCATAGCACTGGCCATGGTGTGTGGGGCAGCCTGGGTGAGGAGCCACGGCAGGAGCACTGACCAAGAAAACCTGCAGCTCTTGGAGGTATCCAACAGCACCAGGGCACGGGGCTGCTCACCTGTCCCAACCACCTCAGTGCCCCAGGGACGCTCTCCTGCCCCCCTGGCCCCCACCCTGCGGGGGCTGTGCCACCTCTCACGGCTGCCCCGTATTGGGAGAGGTTCTGCTCCAGCTACTTCTGCCCTTGGAAAGTCTCGACCCTTCCTTGCAGCCCCTAGGCTGGAGAAGGAAGGGTTTGGGGTGCAAAGAGCCCATGTCTGTTGAACTGCAGCTGCCAGTTGAAGACAATTTTGCAATAAAGGCAGGGTATCCTGCAGGGCCTTGTGTGCTTGTCTGTCTGTCAGTCTGCTCCTTCCTTCAGCTGCCAGCACTGCCCGGGATGCCCATGGCAGCTGATGCACAATACCTGTGTGGGGACATGCTGCATTGTGGCTGGGAGGGACGTGGGGTCACAGGGGCTGTGGAGGCTCCACCATGGCCCAGCTGAACTTCCTCAGGGAGAGAGGAGCCCTCAGCTCTGCCACCTCTGCCTGAGCCATCAAATGCCTGTCTCCAGCTGAGAAATAACCAAGGAAGAGTGTCCTTCCATAACTCTGCCCCCTATTCAGCAACTGCAGACACTGGAGGGACCTGATCAGAGCATGGGGCTCCTGAGCCACAGAAGGGCTGTGCTAGGAACAGCCTGGGGTGACATGCTGGCAAGAGAAGTGAGTGCTCCTGCCCAGCTCCGCTGGGATAAGGGGCTGGGGTTACACATTTCATTCCCCTAGGAAGGACAGGATGGCCATGCAGGAGCACTACCCAGCCTGGAGGATTATCTGGGGTTCAGGCTGGCCCTGTCCTGAGCTCTTCCACCTCTCCCACTGGGTCCCCTGCTTGTCCAGAGGGGCTGGGCAGTGTGGCAGTGAGAGACAGGCTGTGTCCTGACATGGGCTGGAGGAAGAAAGGGGGGGACCCTGGGGACAGCCCACAGCAAGTAATCTCAATGACCAGGAAAAGCTGAAACTCTAGGAAACAGGAAAGGCCATGATCTCGCTGAATCTCCAGCAGTCACGGAGGTGGTACCAGCGGCAAAAGAGGAAGCGAAGCCCCAGAGACACAACGAAGAGGAGGAGCGGGGCTGTTCCAACACCTACATGTGGCTCCTGCTGGTGCTGGCCTCGGAGCCACCCTGGATCCGCCAGGAGAAGCGGGAGGTGCCGGTGCAGCGGCAGCGCTCCCGCCAGTCCGTGTGTCTGCACAGGCTCCGGGGCAGTGACGGTGCCCGACACCGTGCAGGGACTCCCTTCGGTCACCTGCACGTACCAGCCCGGCCGGGAGATGTTGCCGAAATTCTGGTGCAAACCGAGTACAGGTACTGGTGTTACCTGTGCCGCTTACATGGTCAGCACCTCGAAGTTACAGCCCGAGGCGCGGCACGGCCGGTTCTCCATTCTGGACAGCTGCGTGAGCCGGGCATTCAGGGTGGCTATGGAGCGACTGGTCAAGGAGGATGAGGGTATGTTCAGCTGTGGGATGCTAAAGGGATTTTTTCCCCGTTACATGTGGAGGTGATCATAACCCCGGGTCTATCCTTGAACGTTTTCCCCACGGTCACAGGAACACGGTGCCCGTCCGGCACCCGCTGCATCCCTCTCATCTTTCCTCCGCATCTGCAGCCCTGAGGCTCCCGCCGGACGCTCCTCAGGAGACCGGCAGCACTTTCCGCTGCTTCCCGGTGCTGGCCGTGAGGGCCGGCACCGCTCGACCCCCGACTCGCCCGGTCCCGACCCCCGGGCAGGGGCAGGGCAGCACCGGGGCCCCGCCGGGGGCTTCCTGCTTTCCCCGCCGGCTCCAACAAACGCCCCCGCCGCTCCCCCCTCGTCTCTTCGGCCGTCCCCGCTGTCCAGCACTGCCGGGGATCCCCGCGCTCCGCCCCAACGGGGTGACCGTGCCGCGGGGGCGGCCCCGGGGGCGGGCCGGGCTCCGCCGAGAGGATCCGAGAGCGGCAGCGCGCTGAGCCTCGCGTCCCGGAGCGGCCATGCAGCTCCTGCCCCTGCTAACCTGGGCGCTGCTTCCAGGTAAGGCTGGGCCGGAGCCCCGCACTGGTGGGCAGCCCCGTCGGGCGGGATGTGCCGGCAGCGCTCCCGCGCCTCCGTGTGTCTCCACAGGCTGCGGAGCAGTGAAGGGACCCGGCAGTGTGTGGGGATTCCTGGGGGGTTCCCTGTCGGTCACCTGCACCTACGAGCCGGACCAGGAAAAGCTGCCGAAATTCTGGTGCGAACCGGGTAGTGTTTTTTCCTGTAGTGAGGACATCGTCATCACCTCGGAGTCGCGTCTCGAGGTGCGGAAGGGCCGGTTCTCCATCCGAGACAACCGCACACACCGGGCATTCACGGTGACCGTGGATGATCTGTCCAAGGAGGATGAGGGCACCTTCCGCTGTGGGGTGCGAACGCCAAGTTATTTGTTTGATAAGACTGCTGACGTGAAGGTGATCGTATACCCAGGTACTTGTGGGTTGCAGGTCTCCCAGGTCCAGCATGGATATGTCCCCTTCCAGCTGCTTGGAGCAGGGCTGCAATGGGGACAGCCTGGAGCTGATGGGTGCCCCTGCAGGTGGGACACCCCCAGGGTGTGTCCCCAGAGTGTAGTAGCTGCCACCATCACTCATTCCCTATTCTCAGTTCTCCCCAGAGCCCCATTCTTGGCACCCCAGCATCAGCCGTCTCCATTATTGAGATGTACTGTGCTCTCTGTGTCCAGTTTTCTTCCTCATTAGCTCTTGCAGACCTTTTCTGTGCCCTCCTTGCCTTACTGTGCAACACTGGGGAGTTCTTCATTGCACTGTGCTTCCCCATTTCCCACTTGGGACAGGCAGCACCTCTGGGCACCAGGCCCTGGGTTTAGGAAACATCCATCTGCATTGCCTTGCCAAAGATCAACCCACATAGCAGGAGAATATGTATGTGGGGTTGTTGTGTTAGTACTAAACCGGGCACAGGGTGCCCAGACTCCCTTTCTGCAGGGTGAATCTGTTTTGTGCATGTTTTGGGGAGGACTAAGAATGTGAAAAGCCTTGTGGGCAGGAGAAGGGTCTCAGAGCACTTTGACCTCAAGATGTGTCCTCTGGATATGGCAGAGGGGACCCAGCTTCTCATGCTGTGACAGCACATAGGTAGGTCACTTCTGACTCGCTGCAAAACTCACACCATTTTTCCCCACAGAGATCAACCAAGCTTCTCCTCTTTTTGTTACAGCTTCTTCCACCCTTCTGTCATCGACCTGCACCACCACCACGTTCTCTGATCTTATTCCCTTTGTAACAGGCCACACACAGACAGTTTCCCAGGCGGAAATTGTGCAGTCAACATCAAACCCCTCCACCCCTCAAGTGTGAGTAGCAGCTCCTGCTTACCACAGCCACTTTCCTGCATAAGCTCTCTAATGCAGCGGGAGCCCTGCAACCATTGGGCTCTTCACACCTCCCTTAAAAGGATCCAAAGCTCCTGTTTTTGCATTTAGAGACCATTCCACGTGGAAAAATTCTTCCGTGTGAGGGTCGGGAGGTCCTGACACAGGTTTTCCAGAGACATTGTAGATGCCCCATCCCTGGCAGTGTCCAAGGGCACACCGGATGGGGCTCAGAGCAACCTGGCCTAGTGGAAGGTGTCCCTTCCCATGGGAGAGGGTTGCAACTGGATGATCTTTAAGGTCCCATTCTGACCCAAATCATTCTCTAATTCTATGTCAGAAATTCTAGTGCTTCTAGTCAAGTGGGAGAAGTGGTCTCTGCTTGCAACATGGACCTAATTTCCTTCCCAAAACTCAGTGGAGATAGTTCGTGGGAGGGAAGTCAAGTGCTGCCCAGTGTTCTGTTCTTTGTAGTCACACACAGCTTGGCAAAGTTAGTTGAAAAAGCATGAAACGAGTGTTGGATCTTCCTCGCTTCTCTCCTGCCTGTGGGAGGTGATGCCAGCAGCAGGCAAAACTGACACTCCCCATCAGCACACTCAAGATGTGCTTGTTCACCAGCTTCTCCTGCTTGTCCGTTACAAATAAGGTTAACAAAGAGTGGAGTTAAACCAGAGTAAATGCAGGAATCCATCCTTAAATCACTGAAGACAAAGTGGCTCTCAGACCCAAGTGTCATTTTGGTTCCACAGTTTTTGGTTTGCTCTGCTCTGTGCCCAGCTGGCAGCCTGACCATCGCATGCTGCTGTGATGAGCAAGCCCTGCACCACACAGCTACTTTCTGTGTCGGCCACAGCTGCTTCCTGCAACCCTGCTCCATGCTGGTTCATCCTCAGAAGCATGAAAACATAAACTCTCTTTTTCTTGCAGCTTGAACGTGGTTGAGCACATCCTCATTCCAGCTGTCATTGTGGTTCTTTTTTTGCTTGTAGTGGCTACAGGTATTCTGGTAATACTCTCCAGAAAGAAGAAGGGTGAGTGAAGTTTTCAGTGCCACACACATCCTGTTTTTGTAACAGAGCCTGCTCTGCTTCAGTTATTTTTCCCCTCTGTTTCTTTTTCCTCTCCCATTCCCTTCCTGATCCATCCAGTTCTCAGTCCATCATTGAGACCTCCACCAAGGAGGTCTTCTTCCTTCAAGGGAACAGTGGGACCATCCCATGGGTGTTGTCCCCTGGGAGCAGGGAATGACAGCCCTTGGGGTGGGTGCTGCTGGGCACAGAATCTGCTTGGGTTTGTCTGGGCACCATCAGCTTCTCCAAATGGGCTCACTGGCATGAGCCGGGCTTACACTAGGCTTGATGAAAAGTTTAAGGCCAGTGTGAAGGATGGGGAGGGACAGGAGGGGACATTCCCAGCTGGCAGGTGGCGTCTGGCTTTATTTGAAGAACTGCTCCAATTTAGATGGCTCATGGAGTGTCAGGTTCCTGTCCTGCTTTATGGCAAGGTTTGCAGTGGCAGTGCAGTTTCTCAATACTTTTTTTTCCTCTTTTTTCACTCACGTCCAGCCCTATCCGGCACAGACATAGAGATGGACAGGACTCGCAGCATGTCACCTACAGTAAGGAAAACCTCATGAGTTCTCGGGATTCTGTGCCCCAAGTTCACATGGAGAGGGGAAACATTGCACCCCGAGCTGCCAGAGCCACTGCTTTCAGCCAGGCTCATGGCACTTTAGGCTGGGAGGGATCCTTTGGGCTCTGTTCACCAACAGAAAGACACAACCACGGACTTTGTGTGACTATCACAGAGTATTCCTGGGAAAGGAATTTAGGATTGAGCTGAGAGGTTTCCAAACCTCTCCAAGCATGGGAGCTGCTTCTCTGAGTGAAACAGCAGTGGGAACCTGCAGCAAGGCACACCTGAAGTGGCTGCAGGATAGCTGCCCCTTGCTTACTGCTTGGAAAGTATTTTCTGATTTTTCTGCCAGCTCTTGAGGAAGGGCTGGTGTCACTAGAATTCCCCTGGGGAAAACTGAGCCAGCTCTTGCTTCAATTTTTATTTCCATCCAGCGCCCCTGCCACACCCATCAGGATAGGCAGCAGGTTGGGGGATATTCCCACCCCTGTGGATGCAGGCAGTGAGTGACAGCAGGGTAAGAGCTCATCCTTCTCCATCAGAATGCAGAAGCCTTGAACTATGCGGACATTAACCACGGCAGGGGCGCGGCTGAGAGCCAGTACAGCAATGCCTGGGCTGCCCGCCCCCTGGAAACGCCCCCGATGGAGTACGTAGGGGTCAGGAAGAGTGCTCAGGTAGGACAATGCCAAGCACTGCCAAGCTGGAGGCAGTGGGAGGAAAGCTGGAGTGGGTGGGGGACAGAACGGGCAGCAGGATGGGCTGGGTGGGGAAGGAGGGGGCTGCAAAGGGAAATACCAAACTGGGGTGCGAGTGACCCTGGCTAATGTGGGTTCCCTCTCCGGTCCCTGTGGCTGCTCCTGTGTGCTTAAAACATCACAGAGAGCTTCCAGCAGACAGCGTTTGCCTGGAGCAACTCCATGAAGGATGTTTTTTGTTTATCTCCCTGCTTTCCCAGCCTTTGGAAGAGGAAAAAGACGCATTATATGCCAAAGTGCAGAAGCCTGTGCCACAGCAGGATCAGATCTACGCCAATGTGCCATCAGCTCCACGGCCCAGTGAAGAGCTCTACAGCACAGTGTGGGAGAGATAAGCGAGCACCCGGCCCCGTGGGCTGCTCCTGCTGCTGGCAGCACCAACGAGACTTGCACAGAGGACGTGGGGTTGATGTTCTGCTCAGGCAGGAGCTAGCTTGACGGCAGAGCTATTGCTCTCCAAGGCTTGGATGTTTCTTTGAAGCAACATCAGAGAGGATGAGGTTGTGTGGAGGCACAGAGAAGGTTGAAGATAAAGTCATCCCTTTGCAGATGCAATTTGGAGTCCTCATCTGTACAGCAGTGGTGCTGGGAATAAATCTCTCCCCCATGAAGTCAGTTATCCAGGCCAGAGACCTGCCAGGCAGGGCGTGGGAGAGGTGGGCAAGGGAGGTGAGGCTGGGCTGGTGGGTGAGCTGGTTCCCTGTGCTCACCACTCATCCCACTTGCTCCTTTGGCTGCATTGTTCGTGTGGGCTGAGCTCCCATACCCACTGGTCACCTCAGACTGATATTTTTTCATGCTAATGCCAGCTGGCAGCTCCTGGGAGCCAGGATAGTGGGAAATGTTATATCCAAGTGCATTTGCATGGGGTGCTCATGTGGAGGGTGAAGTGAATCAGGATGTTTGTGCAGAAATGTCATCTCCCCCAACCCCTGGTCCCACAGGCTCCCAAGCAGTGTGCTCCTGCTCTTTCTCTTCCACCACCCCTGAGGACTCCCAACCTGGGAGCACACAGATGGGCTGCAACCATCACCTTGCTCTTCTCTGCTTTGCTGATAACTTTTTTTCTGGCACCCACAAAATACTTCCTGTATGAAATGTTCCTGCTTTATCAGTGACACCGAGAATCTGATGGCATCGGTTGCAGTGTGTGACTGTGTTTGTACAGCACTCCCCACCTGCTAAAGGAGTTATTGCAGAGTGCCACCCTGAAAGCAGCTCCAGCCCCTTGCTGGTGCCCAGCTGGGCTCCAGCTGTGTGAGAACTCAGATCTTTAAGGACAAGGACTCCTAGGGCTCCAGCACAAACTCACAGCCCCACTACCAGCTGCTGCAGCAGCATCACTCCTCACTGGAACGTTCCATGTAGTCTTGCTCCTGGCATGCTGGTGCCCTCCCCCATGACTGTTCACTCTTCTCTAGCCCAGTGCCAGGCAATTCATCCATCCATCCATTTCCACGAAAAACAGGCAATAGGGCTGGGTGTCCATTTGTGGTGTGCTCTTACACGTACACAGTTCCATGCAAGTGCTTTTGACAAAGATTAATTTTCCTTTGCCATGAGAATTTGGGCACTGTAGCTTTTTGCAGCGAGGCTGGTTTCAGGGCAGGGGTGCTGAACCGGAGGAGGCTGAGGTGGGAGCTTCTCACTCTCTCCAGTTACCTGAAAGGAGGCTGTAGTCGGGTGCAGGTTGGTCTCTTCACCCAGGTAACAAGCAACAGGACAAGGGGAAACAGGTGCCACAAGGGGAAAAAATTCTGCAAGTTGTGCCAGTGGATTCTTGTGCCAGATTGGATCTTAGTGAAAATTTCTTCACCAAAAGGGCTGTGAAGCCCTGGAACAAGCTGCTGAGGGAAATGTTAGAGTCACAATCCCTGGAGAGGTCTAAAAGATGTGTAGATGTAGAGGTGGCACTTGTGGACGTGGTTTAGTGATGGCCTTGGTGGTGCTGGGTTAATGGATGGTCTTGATGTTCTTAGGGGTCTTTTGCAACCTAAAGTATTCTAGGTAAGGAGCCTTTTCCTGCTGGTATGAAGATGCTGAGGCAATCTTGCAGCTCTTCAGTCACAAACCAAATTGCTCCTATCAAAGGGGAAGCCCTCCCAGAGCTCAACAGGCTGCTCAGAGTCTTTCTTGAGCCTGGGGAACCCCTGCTTATCAAAACCTCTTCCTCTTAAAACCGTTGGGGGTGTTGCGGCTGTAGTGTTCCCTCAGCTTTATTGGCAGAATGTGCCCACAAGGCTCACCGGAGGTCATGGAAGTCCCAGGAGCTGTTATCACCACCCAGCCACTGCTTCCTATTTCTTCTTCTGAAATACTTCCCCCCAGAAACTTTTACAGGGGGGAGGCTGAGAGAGCTGGGGCTGTTCAGCCTGGAGAACAGAAGGCTCCAAGGAGACCTCAGAGCCCTTTCCAGTGCCTAAAGGGTGTCCAAGAGAGCTGGAGGGAGACTTAGAACAAGGGCCCAGAGTGCTAGGACAAGGGGAATGGCTTCACAGTGCCAGAGGGCAGGGTTGGATGGGATACTGAGAAAGAATTGTTCCCTGGGAGGGTGGGGAGGCCTTGGCACAGGGTGCCCAGAGAAGATGTGCCTGCTCCATCCCTGGAAGTGTCCAAGGCCAGGCTGGGACAGGGTTTGCAGGAACCTGGGATAGTGGAAGGCGCCCCTGCCATGGCAGGGGGATTGACACCAGTGGTGCAGGCACACAGAGCAGTGCACGGGTGGCCACACACAACCATATGTGCACCCCAGTGCACACTCACATCCCAGGGCACACTGACATCACTCACAGTCCCACACACATTCGCTCATATGTCAAGGTGCACGCACACACAGACACACATATTCACTCACACTCATTCCACTCACATTGTCTCACATTCATTCACACTCACACATTCATTTGCACACTCACTCTCACATTCACATTCATTCACTCTCATACATTCACCCGAATTCTCATGAATGCACTCTCACATTCATTCACTCTCCCATTTACTAACACACTTGCATTAATTTGCACTCATTCACTCACATTCATTCACTTATATTTATTCTTTCACATTTACCTTAACACTCACATTCATTTGCTCACACATTCATTAACTCTCACATTTACTTTACCACTTGCATTCATTCACTCACATTTACTTGCACTCACATTAATCACTCGCATTCACTCATGCTCACACTCATATTCACTCTCCCATTTACTTTAACACTCAAACTCATTGACTCTCCCATTTACTTTAACACTCACACTCATTGCCTCTCCCATTTACTTTAACACTCGTTAATTCACTCATATTTACATATTCTTTCACTGGCCCCGCCCCCTCCCTTTGCCACGCCCCCGCATCACCCAGCCCCGCCCCCTCGGTGCCCGCGCATGCGCCGTGGCGGCGGCGCGGCGGGCCATGGTGGCCGGCGGGGCGATGGTGGCCGGCGGGCGGGCACGGAAGCTGGTGCGGCGTTACCGGCTGGCGGCCGCCACGGCCCTGGCCATCCTCCTGCTCCAGGGGCTCGTCCTCTGGAGCTCCGCCGGCCTCGACGAGGAGGGCCCGGCCAAGGTGTGCCGCGGGAGGGAGGGAGAGGGGGCGGCTGGGGCCTTCCAGGGGGACCGTGAAGGAGGGGGTGAAGGGTGTGAGGGGGCCGTGTTGAACGAGGGCGATAAAAGGGCTGGGGGGCCGTAAGGGGGCTGAGGACGACGCGGGAGAGGCGAGGCCTGAGGGGCTCGAGGTGGGCTGAGCGCCTGGGGGGTCACGGGAGGGCGGTGTGTGCTGGAGGGGGCTCTCGTGGAGAGAGAGCCCTTGGGAGGGACAATGCCCTGGGGGTCGGAGTGTCCCCTTGCTCAGGAACTGGGGCTGGGACAAAGCGGGTGGACTCTGTGGGGTTGGCAAGGCCCAGAGCCAGGTTGGGGCTCCTGGAGTGAGGGGTCCTGCAGCCTCAGGCTGCTGGAGGTGTTGGCGGTGGGCAGTGGATGTGGCCTGGAGGGTTTCTGGCTGCAGCAGTGGAAGGTCACAGCACCGGAGAAGGGGAGCTTGTGGCCCAGGGTGGGTTGTTTTGGGTCTGGCATAGTGAGGAGTGTGAGGGGTTTGATGGGGATCTTGCACTTGTGGTTTGGGGGATATTGTGGGAAACTGGGGTCAGGGCCATCCAAACCTAAAAACATGGAATTCAGAGAGCTGGGAGATTTGTGTGAGCTCCTGTGTAGGTGTTTCAGTGAGAGGTATCTTTGTGAAGTGGGAGAGTACAAGGACCTTTTGGAGTTGCTGATGTCTTTATACCAGAACACCCTGTGAAGGCCAGATGCATCACTTCATTCTTGTGAGTGTGGGGAAACTGAGGCATGGTCTGGTGAAGGAGTTTGCCCAAGGTCAGGCACAGAGCAGGTATCTAAGAGGACCCATGCTGATGAAGCATGTTGCTGCCACCTTCAAACCAAGCTCCCACTCCTGGATTGTTAATTTGGATTTGTTTATTTGTTGGGAACTGCCCAGACTCTGCTATGTCTGTGCGAACCAGTGGCTGAAGCCTCTTAGTGGTGTGGAGGGATTCCATGGTCAGTGGGTCTAGAAAGCTTTCCTTGAGAGTGAAGAGGTGAGAAGGGGAACAGGACAGCCCCTTGCAGTGGGGAAGGTCTCTAAAGTGATACCACCCTTTCAGCAGGTGAATTCCCAGCCTTAGGCCTCCTCCTGGGCAATGGGGAATGGCCATGAGCACCCTCATGTGCTGCCATATGCCCATCACCAACACAGAGCCAGCGAGAGTGAATGTGGCAAGGAGAGGGTCGTGGTCTGGAGGCACTGGAAGCATGAGGGCAAACTGATCTGGTACCAAGGAGTGCCCAAATGCTCCTTTACCTGTTCTGTGACCTTGATCGAATTACTTCACCCCTCCTGGCTTCTCCTTCTCTCTGCACCATCCTGCACTGCTTGTCTGCTGTTCTCTGTTCCTGCCCTTCACAGCTTCCTGGGTTGGCTCATTCTGCCTTGATCCTTGCCTGGTTTCCCCATGTTTCAACCCAAAACTGAGCTGGGCAGCTGAGCAGGTTTGGCCATGGGTCCCCTTTCCTGGAGAGGAGTTGGTTCACCACCAGCAGTCCTGGGAATCGACAAGCCTCTTTGGAGAAGACAAGAACCATCCTTAACTTCATGGACAGCCTGAACCCATTAGCAAGCTGGGAAAAACAATTAACCTTTATTTCTTATAAAATGCAAAGCTCTCGGTTTCTGTGCCATCCTGCAGCTTCTGATTTTGGCCAGACCTAGGGGAGACACCATTTCCCTAGAACATTTCTGGTAAAGCCAGAGAAATAGTCCCAGGAGAGTCTGACCTTGCAGGCCTGAAAGGATTTGTGGAAGTCTGGAATTGCCACAGTAAATGGCTTCTTCCCACTAATGGACACAGCCTATCCCCACCATGAATGGGCTGTGACTGGCTGTGGAGAAAGAAAGAAAGAAAGAAAGAGACACTCAAGTCCTGGAAGCCCTGTGGAGCTGGCTGTGCCTCTTGGATCCATCAGTTCTCTTCCCAAGCCCTATTTTGGGGTCCTGCAGGCTCCCTGTGTTCACCAAACAGATGCTTTATTGGGTGCAGAGCAGGAGTGCC